TCTTCACATCTCCTGTTATCCTATTACAATTTTTCTGTTTAATGTTATCTCGTCTAGTTACACAAGATAACTCTTCAGTTCTCATGTTATCCTATTACAATTTTATCTCATTTAATGACATAAGACGATTCAATTCCCCCGCTATCCTCTTGAAGATCGAAAAAAATAGAAAAATTGCCGTCAAATCCGCTCAAATTCAAATTGCACTTTCGTGACAGGATAACAGGAGATGTAAGGAGTAGCCCGGCAGTTTTTGAATACTTTTTTTGTCGAAAAATTTTGAACATTCATACTTCTGAAGAACATTGAGTAACTCTTCAGTTCAATTAAGTTACGACTGATTTCCAGCGCTAAATTACTCATTCTCCATGAACGTGCGCAACTGCGCACGACAGGGACTTAATCGTAATCCATTTAATATAAAAATTACTATAAAAATTAACAACTATATCAAATTTCTCGTATTTAATTCACAGATTGTCGTACCTCCGTTAGAAAAATCCCGAACGAGGTTCCTCCTGGGGCGGGAAAAGGGGATTTGCTCGAGCCACGTATAAATCTCATCCAGAATATCTGCGAATTGCTCTTCAGAATTTACACTCATAGTTAGTCCAACGTCTGTCAAATGCGGCAGTCCCTGAGAAACAAATGCACGAAATCAAGCATTATTTTTTTGTTCCATTTAAACATTAATTAATAATTTCAAATAAAACTCCATTTTTCAATTCTTCAAATAAAATTCATCCACAAAATGGCGTAAATGCAAATAATTTCGATTCTTCGACGACTGAAAATCATGACTACTCCAAAATAATTTAAAAAATAAAAGAAAAAACTATAGTTATTCACTTATGCAGTATTGATCGAAAGCTAGTTGGTACAGGAGATCCCTGTGATGATTCTCCCACTATCAATTTATTTTACCGCACACGACGCAATAAAAAAAGCTCAAGAATTTCACGGAGAACTTTATTGAGTGGAGAGTGAAAGCTCTTGAAAATGGGACTTGCCTTTTGTCAACGTCTTCAAATAGGCGACATGAGATTATCAGTCAGTGAGTACTGCCATGTTCCATACAAATAAAAAAAATCTCCAATTACTCACCAATATCTTGTCATGTCAGAACCATTCACCAACTACATGCGGTACGTGGTGGCCATCCTGGGGTGTGCTGGAGGTGCCCTGATAAATTTTGTCGAGGTAATTCCCACCTTTCCATCAGAAAATCACTCCAATCCAAAACTCTTCACACTATTCATTGTCTTTCGTAGTATGACTCATTTTATAGTGGAGGCCTTCATCCACTGTTCCTGGAGATGGTCTACTACGTGGCTCTCATACAGTTCCCGATTCCCACAGCAATTTTAGCGGAACGTACGTCCGCCAAATCCCTGATGATTGTCACGATGATTCTCAAATTTGCATCACTTGTTCTCCTGGAGACACAGCAGTACGTGAGGGAGAGCTATTCCATTGCAGTCATCATCGGGAGAATTCTGCAAGCCTATGCCACTGTGATTATCAATTATCGTAACGATAAATAAATTTATCGGTATTTTTTTATGATAGAAATATTGATATCCTGAATGCAGGCGGCGTTCCCTCCGATAATGTACCTCTTCATCGGGCGGTGGTCTCCACCGAAGGATCGGGGTATCATGGCCATGATAATCTTCTCAGGATTGCCAATAGGATCAATGTTCAGGCTCGCTCCATTTTTCCTATGGGTTATTTTTCAAATGCGCACATTCTACGTTTTTGGGGCTCTCGCACTCCTCTGGATCGTCCTCTTCTGGCTCCTGGTGGAGGACCACCCTGAGGCAGATCACTGGGTGTCCCAGAAGGAGAGGACAATTATATTGGAGCAACTCCATAGGTCAGAGGGTGAGTATCTTCGGAAGCTGCAGCCCTTCCCGTTTAAGGAAGTCTTCACGTCGATGCCCTTCTGGGTGTTGCTGGCTGTTCACTCGGGTCTAGAAGGTGCCTTCACTGTTCTCAAGCTCTTCCCAAAGGTTGTCATTATTATTCCAGAATTTGTGGAATTCTTCATGACTCTAACGTTTCTGGTTTTCGTAGAGTATCGAGACAACCGAAGGTGGCAATTTTCTCACGATAATTCTGATGATTATTTTCGGAAGTTCTGTAACTTGTCTTGTAAAGAGGAATAAAGTGAATCTGACTCAAGCCAGAAAATCTACCGTGGCATTCCGTAAGTACAAAATTCTCTGAACCTCAAGTTCTTCAAGTTCTCAAGTTCGGTTTGAGACAATCAGAGATCATCAAGTTATCCTCAAATTAATGAATTAAATCTCGCAGAAATATCATTTTTTAAATGAAAAATTGCTCTTTGTTTAGTGCTCCCGACAGTGGTGGTTCCTCTTCTGCTGATGCTCAATGCTAATGGAGAATACCTCGTGAATCTCCGAAGCTTTGCGCTTTCGCATTATGGAATTTTGTACAGTGGCTGTTTGATAAATTACATAGACTTGGCTCCAAAATTTGCAGCCACTCTGCTCTCCGTCTCAATGACAGTGGCAACTCTCGTAAAAATCATCTTCACGTACTTTTTCCTCTTTTCATCGCAACATCGTCAGGTACACATGAGGTACTATCATTAAACACATCATTGTATTGACGCCATTAATTATTATTGCAGGAGTGGCCCCAGGGTTGGTTCTACGCGGCAGATATGCTCATTTTATTCTCAAT